GATGGCTGCGTCGGTTTGCTTCTCCGAACACCCTTTGCCGCACGTGCAACTCTCGCTTGTGATCGGCAACCGGTGCGGCAGCTGCACGTCCGAATTGAAACGTTGCGCGGCAAGCATGCATGGATGTGTCCCGTTCAGACTCTCATGGTTCATGGGCCCATGCAAACTCCCGACGCGGTTCCGCCTCCCTGCCTTCGGCATATCCAGCTGCGTCGCCAGCCCTGGGCAGATCACCGCCGGATGGTCGATGAGCTGCGCCGTTCGCGGGAAATCGGCCTTACAGAGATTCGGATTGTCCTTCCGACGACACGCTGGCAAGGGCACCCTCACCCCCGTCTCTGGGTTCTCAAGATGCACGTGGTGCTGCTTCCGCTCTTGAAGGTACTGCACGTCACCGTCGAGGTACCTGCTCTCCCAAACGCGCGCTTCCTCCGCCTCTTCCAGCTGCGCCACTCCCTGCCCCGCCCTGCGAGTCTGATACGTCGGACGGCACACCAGCCCAAACTCATTTTTGTATTCTGGCCACGCGGCTTCCGCTCCCGCCAGATTCCCATTCAGACCGTCTGGGGTCACGCGCGCGGAGTACTCCTGCCGGCAAACCCGGCGCTTGTACTCCAACGACTCCTTCACGAACGCCCGCCCCCATCCGTCCGCATTGTTCCGGACGAGTTCGAAGATTTTGTCCAGCGGCGTGTGCTGGTGCAGACACTGTGCGAACACCTGACAGTGCGCGTGGAGCGCGCCCGTCGATTTTTAGCGCTTCGATGGAGACATAGCACGCGTCCACCCTGCCGAACACCCCGCCTTCCGGCGAGGCGTTGCTGCCGAACAAATCCTGGCACGGCGACATTCGCTCGCCATGGTTGCATCCCGGGCAGTTCGGGCAGCTGCGCAACCCGAAAAGATGCCGCATCGTCGCGTCTACAATCACGCGGAAACCTTCCACTCTCGCCATAGGATCCCGCGCGAGTATATTCCTGCGCTCCGCCCAAGTAGGCACTTGCGACGTGATCGCCGCCAGCGGTAGTTGCAGGCGCGCATCGTCAGTCTCTGGAGCGACCTGCGGCCACTCTCGACTACCAGCTGCCCGCGACGCTGCCGCATCGCTCACCGCATTGTGGACGGGGTCGCGACGTCGTGTGCGCGACAACCGTACCATGAGGAGACTGTGTCCTTCGTCCGGAGAAAAAGTGACAAAGATCGGTACGCCGTACCGAACGCGGAGAGCGTTGGTTTCGAACCGCATGACCCGTCGTGTCTCTTGCGTCCCTGGTAACCGCCGAGACGTGTGCTCGATGTTCGCGAGCAACTTGTGGGCCGCTCTGCCGAGTCCCGGGACGTAGCGCACTTTCGTCATGTCTCCCATCACTTTCTGCTTCTTACCGTTCACGTCCTGGTATTTCCCCGCCAATGCACGGTAGATCTGCTTCGCCCCTTCGCTGATCTCCTCGGGTGTGATTTGCGCATCCACGTCCTGCGGGTTCGCGGATACGTACGTAAACCACGTCCTGCTCAGGTTCACCGCTGAACGAAATACCAAGTTCCACGACACGAAACCGAAATGCCAATCGCGCGACAACTGGCTCTCTACGCGACGACTCATGATGCGAACCCACAGCGGCAACTCCACCCGCGGGGCTCCTTCCGAACGCCGATACCGCGGACGCTTCAAGAAGGCCGGCATGTCGGGCATGCCTGTACAATACTTGAAAATGAACGCAAACGCTACGCCGAAATACCACGGTTCGAATTGATCCATCATTGTGTTCCCCGTACACACACGCAAACGATCCACTCGTTCGTTCCTCTCCAGCGCCTCTGTCAACAATCTCGCCTCTTCCCGTTCCTTCGCCGGCGCGAAGTCGGGCTCCGTTTCTAGCCCGCCTTCGCGCGGGCGCTTCGCTCGTGCACCTACTTGCTCCGACTCGCTCTCGCTGTGATCTGTGCGCTCGCTGGTTCCATCGTGTTCGCATTCTGGCGACACCCTCTGTGCAAAACTTCGTACGGCTTCCACGCGCTGGGCATTGATATCCCCGTCATCGAAGCTGCTCTTCTCCAGAACCACGGCGTTGCCTCTCGTCGTTTCCAAGGTCTCCGCCGCCTCCTGCAACCCATCCGGGCGCGGAACTGGAGTCGCCGCCTTCTGCATCTGTATCTTGTCCAGCTCGTTGTCCAAAGGCACCAGACGCATGATCTCGGGCGGCACCTCACCATCAGGCAGCTCCGCAGCTTTTTTTCGCACCTGTTCCATGCAAACGTGCTGATACGCTCGGTGCCCACGCTTCTTCGCCCCCTCGATCAGCTTTACGACCACGTCCCGACGGACGACTGCCTGATGTATGAACTTCGCCATGCTCGCTGCCGTATCGTCGTCTCCTCCGGACTTCAATATCACCGACACTATGTCGGCCAGTTCTTTGCCTGTCCGCGGCACCGACGGCGGCCTTGCCTTCGACGCCCCTTCCTCCAAGGCGGTCAGCTGCGCGAACATGTCCGTCCACGGCATCGGGAAGGACGTCGCGTTCCCGCGAGCAGCCATACGACGCGTGTTGTTCCCCGCCTCCATGTCAAAAGATCGTTCGTTGCGATGCCGCTTCTCCAAGGTGAAACATACCATCGAGGTCACGCACACGGACGCACAAATCATCTCGAGCAGCGTTACGTTTCCTGCGAATAGCTCCTCCGGTGAGTAGAACGTCATCATGTCATTAGCGAGAGCTGCAGGGGGTACCGCCGCCTCGCCTCTCGGGCCAGACATACCCGTTCGGCATTCCTCGCACAGCGGCGCCTCGCAACGATCGCAGGGCTCGTTCCCTTCGTGCCGCGATGCCGTGCTGCAGCGCATATCTTCGGGGCAACACAACACCTTCACATGTCCATCGCCCGACGCGATGGTTGCTTGCCAATCTTCAAAATCCTCCGCGTGATCCCGCAGATGCACGTCGCTGCCGACCTGACCGTATCGACCCACATAACTTTCTACGGACAAATGCTTTCTGACGAACGAGCCAGGCAGTCCGAAGATGCCATCCAAATCAGGCGACACCTTCTGCCAAGTGATTGGATTCCCCCGTCGCCCTTCCACGTGAGGAAATTTCCGCGCACACACCATGCATATCAGAGAACAAACTGACTCGTCTCCCAGCGCCTCCGCATATGCACGGAGACATCGCCGGTCAATGGCAAGTGCGGCGAGAGGAGCTTCTTGACGGACCTTCCATGCCACGACCTCGTTGTACGCGGACAAGTAACGCAACTCTTCGCTCTTCTCTTCCTCGGCAGACGCGCAAACCAGCGAGCCTGCGATATCCTCGAGCTGCGCCCGATGCTCCTTCAGCAGGTGCGCGCCCAGATCTGCATCCGAATATCCATGCCAGAGGCAAGGCGTCCAGTCGCCCTCCCACCATCGATTGAAGGCACAGTGTTTCGTCGGCAATTCTACTGCTCCAACCGATGTCGGGCATCCGCCACATAAGGCAGCCCCATTCGCCGAGACAGCGGGCAACGTGGGTGCGCCCTTCAAGTGCTCCGTCGCAACTCTTTCCAAATGCTCCTCCCTTTTCCGTCGCGGGTCGTCCGACACTTTTGCAGCGCGGACCCGATGCACGTGTCCAGGCGCGTCTGAAGGGCCCTCGCGGTCACCCGCTGGGGTAGCGCTGGTGCTCGACGTGGTGTGCGTTGGCACCGCTTTACCGCCTGTGTCGGTTGGGCCGCCGGTCCCTGGCCCTGCGGCGTCACTGCGCGTCGTCTTCCTTGTGATTCGCGTTCGCTTCGCCTTCGAGTCGGCTTCGGTGACCTCCGTCTGCTTTACATTCCCCGCCCCGCTTCCGGTTGGGCTTGGGCACTCTTGTCTTGCGCGGCGGCGCGGCCGAGTCCTGCTCGAGTCCTTTCCACGCTTTGCCACGCAGGTTTGTATGTCGTGCTCGCAATGTCCGCCCCGGTTTCATTGTATACCTCGACTACGGCAACCTCGCCCTCAGCGCGCACCTCCTCCTCGCACGGCCATGCGCCGAGCGCGGGCCCATCCCCCTCGAGTTCTGCTCGGGTAAACGACATTGAAACCCCCAATCCGCTTGCCCCAAGGAGCCCGTCAAAGCGGGAGTACGTGCGAACGATGATCTGGCAGGGCAGCGCTATTCCGGCCGTGCCGTACCGGGCCAACGCGAATCTCATGATCTCACCAGCGTGGACGCCGTGTCGGAGCTCACCGTCATGCGACCCCAACGCCAACCATATATCTCCGACGGTCCGCAGATGATCCATACACGCCTCGCAAGCGACACGGCGCCCCCCGTCTGACGCCAACGCCTGGTCACACCACCCCAAACGGGCCAACAGCTGAAAGATACTGTCCGCCAGGGAAGCGCCAATGCCGTGTCCAAGACTGCAACCCACGCGGCGGCCTGATACTGCCATGTCCTCAGCTCGTTCATTGTCGGTCTTTGCTTCGAATACCAACGCCCCCTTAAGAAATTCCATAAATTTAACCGTGCGGTCTTCCACCGCGCGACGCCGAGCCTCCACGTCGCGCGCGCCCAGCAGCTCCTCCCGCGCGACTTTCCACCCCCGCCAGTCACGAACCCATTCCTCTTTCATGACACGCAGCAGCGGCGCCGTTTCACCCCAAACTCTCCACAGGTGCGCGTGCAGCTCTGTAGGCACAAAGTCCAGGTCTGCAATCACCCGCGCTTCGGGCTCTTCACACGCATTCCGTAGAAGACGCAATGCGCGCCCATCGGCTTCTCGGATGACGCGCACTGGTGCCAGGAGATCATCAGGGAGGACATGCACTGCCCGCTCACGTCCAGGTCTGGCTGCCACGCCCTCCATGATGGGCCTTCGGGCGCTCCCTTTCGCGGTAGTCGCCGTGCAACAGGACGCCGTCGCGCTACCACTGCCTTCCCTGCTCTTTCTCTTACCGCCGCCGGCCTGGCCAAAATCCGTTCGGCGCCCATCCCCGCGCCCACCTCGACCTCCGCCACCCGCCGTCGCAACCGGGCCGGTCCCACGGGCAAGCCCCGCCGGCTTATCTTCTTCCGCGCCCATTGCTCCGTCGCCCACATCAGCGTCTGCGACGTTGACACCGTCTCCTGCGCACTGACCGCCGCACTTTGCCCCATCGCTGCATTCTCCCGTCTTCCAAGCAGCCACTAGCACCTTCTTCCCCGCCCGACTTATATTCCCCGCACGAACGTCCGATGCATCAGGCAGTCCTCTCTGGGTTTGCGAAGCCTCCGAATGAGTAGGCAGAGTCGGCGGAACTGGCGGCGGCGGCACAGCTCTCGACACGCATTCCAGACGCTCGTAATGTCCGCGCACAGCGCTCCTCCCAAAACCAGCGTTTATACCAATAAGAGTGATGCTCGCCGAGTCGCCGGCAGGCAAGACATACTTGTGCAGCTGAAAGACTGTGCGATGAGGCCAACGCTCCTCCCGAACCTCCCGCGCTATTCCCGCGTTCAGATTTGCGCACTCGCACAATAACATGAGCTCTAAATCACTCAGATAATACCCATCTGAGCATAAAGCCTCCAAATAACAAGGGTACACAAGCGAGAAGAAGTCCTCGAATGGCTCTCGCACCAAAACAGACTCCCCGGCGTCGACGATGGGCGCGTGCGCGCGGGCCTCCTTCACTACCTCTACAAAGTCACCTACTCCAGCACCGAATGCTCTGTCTACGTGCGCGTCCTGCAGGTCAGCCACCGTGTTACTCACGTGCTCCAGGAAAAAATCAATGTTGTTCATGCCGCAGTACTCTACGATGCCGCGGCAGTAATGTTGTCCGAGCTCTGTGTCTGTGCCAACGACGTCGATCTTTCTCTGCCCGTCATTGCCCATGCATTCGTAGTCGTCAAGAATGCCCATGTGAGTCAACAGCGGGCGCAGAAAAATGTCTTTCATGTCGATCCCGCATAAGTTTCCCAGCGCACTAGCCACGTCGCGCCGCTTCTGCTCGAAGACCGACAACGCTTCACTCTCTCGCTTCACGGCGCACACACAGGCATTCATGACATGGCGCTTCCCCTTTATCTTCTCTCACAATCTCTTTTCCTCCGCCAGCATGCCGAGATTGCGATCGTTCAGACCAGCATGCTGTTCCGCCTGCGGCTTGATCACATGCTTCCACGCCGAGTTCATCAGCTCATCCAGTGCTGGAGAATTGCGGGAATTTCGGCGCACTTGGTCTGCTGTCTCGCCGAGCGTCCATCGCAAGAATCCTCTCCCATCGGCGTGCCGCAGCCCATTTGGGTTGGCCGAGCCGAACAGCGCGTTAATACCACAAGCGCCGCCCTGGCCGCTGGTGAGCATCTTTCGATACCGACAGTTTTCCAGTGCCTTCACTCTCACGGCAGAGCACGGCGCGTCACCAATGACGACTGGGCACCCGTCACGATGCAGCCCAGCATTCGCGCTCGCGCTATGGCTTGCCGCCGACGCTTCATTTTTGCCGACACGACTGGCACCAGCAACGGAACGTCGCCATGGGGCCCGCACAGGTTCACCCTCCACCCCGCTTAATACGCCGTGCCCACGAGCGACGCGAACTACATGTCCTTCGGACAGCCAAATGGCAGACCCGACGCAGCGGCCATCCGAATCACCCAGCCGCCACCTCCAATGGGCTCCCTCCTCCAGAAGATCCGCAAATTGTCCTGCCTCGTAGACCCACGCGAAAGCCTTCTGCTGGCACAGCCACCGCTGGACCGCGTCCACGTTCTTTTGTGGCACCGGGTCCACCCCGCCCGCACCCGAAAATGCATTGTTAGGGCAATCTCGCGAAAAAAAACGCAAAGCTTCTCGGCGCCAACGACCGCGCTGCATACACGCTACGGCATCTTGCAAGCACTTGTTTTCCCAGGGCCCCACGGTTGCTTCGTCTGCCGCGAGGGTCGCCACAGAGGTCGTCGGTGCGCAAGCCACGTACGCCGTCCAAGCGACAGCAGCCCGTAGCATTCCATCACCAAGTGTCTCGACCGGCACGCCACCGCACCTTCCGCACATGGCGACGCACTCGTTCCACTGGTTCCTGCCCCGACCCTGGTGGAGCACCTTCCGGTTCGCGCCACTCCCCGGCGCACGACGCACGCGAACTTTGCGAGCACTCCCGGCACGGCGCGCTTCGCGACCCGACATCCACGCCGCGATACGCCATAACCCATACGGATTCGAATCATGCCCGAGTGCAACGAAAAGGACTGTGCGCAGCACGTCGAAGAACGAAACGCCCACGACGTCGTCCGTTTTTTTTTTTTTTTTTTTTTTTTTTTTTTTTTTTTTTTTTTTTTTTTTTTTTTTTTTTTTTTTTTTTTTTTTTTTTTTTTTCGGAGACACTCCTCCCGATCGGGGCTCTCTTCACAGCCGTGCACCTGTCTCGCGTCCAAGGAATGCACGCGCGGTTGGTCATCCGCGTACCGCCGCGCGCCGCGCGCCCACTACGCAGGCCAAAGCGTCGTGGCGAGGGCCGCAGCACGGACCAGCGCGCTTGTGAGTTCTGGCACGGGCAAGCCACTCCCCCGCTCCTAATGGAAGCTCCGACCACGGCCATGTCACGCGTTCGCGTCCAATCATCCGGCGTCTGCGCCGCCGGGGCGCGACGGCCGTCATCTCTTCCTCCTCCCTCTTCTTCCCTTCCGCCCCCGATTCCTCCTCCGCGCCCAACTCCACCCGCTACGCGGCCCGCTCTCGCGTCGAGGCTACGGCGCTCTCGATTCCCACCCGCGCGCGCCCTCAGAGCCCGCAGCACGCGGCTCCGAGCGAGCAATCGCTGTGCTCCGTTCCCGAGATGCCCTCGGCGCTTGCAATGCCTTCTCTCCTTCCCCGCGTCTCGCAGACGGTGCGAATCCCTTTGCCCATCGACTCGCTGCACTCCCGCCGCCGCCACTGCTGGTCGAACTAGTTCCGGGGCCGACTCCTCCCCCTCGTGGGAATCTCTGGCTCGATAGACCCCGCGGCAGGTTCGCGAGAGTTCCCTCGTTCCATCGTCCGGGAGCCCCCCCTGCGATGCAACTCTCTGAAGTTTGTCCTGTCTGTCGTTCGGGGCGCGCGCCTTGCGAAAGGGACGCGGTTGCTCTCCCCTCCGGTCGCTCGGAGGACGAGCCTGGGCGACGAAACGTGAGAGTTCCCCCCGTCGACCGATCGCAGGAGGCAAGTCGGAGATCATGGCCCAAGGCCGGCCTCCGCCAACTCGCGGTAATCTCCTCTGTCCATCACGCCGACTGCAATAGCCGGGACATTGGGCACACATCCGACAGGCGCCCTCCGGCAATCTCTGGCCCACTCCACTACCGCAAGCGCCGGACAACTCAACGCGCGCCCACCTCTGACCTGGTGAACGCCACCCTTGCGGAGACCTTCGGCGGCGACATGACCCTTGCAATGTTTTCTCCCTTCGACCAGGCGCGCGCGCGACTCTTCCGTGGCCGCCAGGTCTACACAGGCGGAACGGCCTCACCAGTCTACAGAGTCTGCACGACACGCCTTGCGACAGGTCGCGCCGACATTCCCAACCGTTTCGCGTGGGCGGCCATCTTCTCCGAACCCACTCGCCAAAGCCCAACGCCCTACAGCCGTGAACAGCACACCGCCCTCCGCTCCTCCTGTGAGCGAAATGATCAACCGGTTGTGCTCCGCGAAACCAACCTCGAGCGTCGAAGCAACATGTTGCGACAGAAGACCAGCGGTCGCGATGATATTCCGTAGAATCAGCGGCGCCGCGGCGGGACATATGATGCGACGGTTTCCCCCTGATCATGCTGCACTCTAGATACCGTGGCGCGACCGCCCCGACAAGACTGTTCGACGGGCCCTGCCCGCGTGGGATATGGCCCCCAGTGGCCCGCGGTTTTGAGGTCAAACCGGTAAACCCACGGCTGATGCCAGGCCTTACCCCCGAAGGGTGCCTGACATGATAGTGCCAGCCGGTCAGCACCACGGTTGTTGAGGCACAACCGGTAAAGCCATCATCTAGGCACGCGCGGAGCCTCATCCCCAGCGGCCGAAGGAGTACTGGGCGAGCTCACCCCGCCGAAGGGCTTGAACTTCGCCACGCGCACTCCCCCTGCCACCAGAGATAGCCCTCCTTGTCGGCCGGCCCTGGCCCGGCGGCCCCCCGACGGAGACGCCATGAGGGGCCCTGCTGCAGCCGCTCAAACCAGACGCGGCTTGAGCCGAAGCGCGTGGCGTGCTCATCTCCTCTTCGTCATCGTTCTCCTTTCCTCCTTCCATCCGCTCGACATTTCCAGGCCTCGTCCCTCGCTCTTCTTTTCCACGGCCGACGATCCCACCTTTCCGCGTTCCGAGGGAGTTCTTGACTGCCCCAATCTCCTCCTCCTCTTCTTCATCCCCCCCTCCTCTCCTGCTCCCTCCCGCTTTCGTTCAGTACCGATGCCTGCCCCTGCAACCTCCTCCAGTCCTCCCATGCGGCACCATAACCACCCCCTCCCAGACCGCCAGACGTCCTCACAGCCCAAGACGTCCTGGCAGGCCCTCACAGCCAAAGGTGGGCCTACAGGGATCAAAACAGCCCCATACGGGGTCCGGCAGAGGACACCGCACGCATGTTCAAACCTGCGAACCGAATTTACCCCCATGATGCCTGCAGAGGCTCCGGAAAATCCCTGAAGATGCTTCCAACGAGGCTGACAAACTTTCTCCATGAACTCCCCGAAAAGCCTCCCACGAGATCCCATCGGCCGTCCGAATGGTCTCTCACCTACAACCACAGCACGGTGTCGGATAGGCCGAAGGCCACTAGATAAAGCAACACAATCACCACGTCACATGGTTCAAGCGAATGCACGGACAGTGCTGGGCAAAGGACAATGAATGCAGATTTGCCGTCTGGGTGCGGGACCAGGTGCCATACTGGAGAACAGCTGCCTACCCTCCTCCCGCAGTTCTTCTTTCTCCACCTGCTCATTCTTGGATTTGTATTCCACAACCTCCTCAATGTTCCTCCAAGCTCTTCCATGCTCGTCGTCGTCGTTGTCGTCGTCGTCGTTCTCCTCCTCCTCTCCAGCTCCCTCCTCCCCTCCCCTCCCCCCCCCCCCACTTTCCTCTCTCCTTCATGATCGTCTGCTTTCCCTTCTGTCTCTTTCTTCCTTCTCCCTTCCGTCGTTCACATCCATCCCCCCCCTGCCCTGCCTCATCTCTACTCTACCTTTCGCGCGCTCGGCCGAAGAAAGCTCAAGTCGTCCCGAAACAATCCCTCCGAGGCCCCAGCGCGTCCGCTCTGCCAGCCAAGCGCGACCGCGAAAAAAAAAAGCCTTCCTGACCTAGGAAAGGCGGCGGTGGAATTGTTCTTTTCCTCCGACGCGCTGGTGGAATACAAGTGCGCGGCTCAATTGCGGGCGGTCGAGACTCGCCCCCCAGGAAAAGACAGCAGGAACATATTTCGCGAGGCGCCAGAAATTGGCTGCCCATAGTCTAAGCGTTCACATTACATGACTTCTCACTCCCCCTTCTGCCCTCCCGCATCCTCGGCCTAGACTGCCCTCTGCTTCTCGCCTGCGCTGCCACAAAATGAATTCGCTCGTCCTGCATAAACCCCCCTTCCCAAAAAACATCCACACCCCGCTGCGTGCATGTGAGTGTCTGGATCCCCGGCGCCACGCATCGGCTGCGCGGGGCAAAGGCGACAAATTCGGCCAGGCCGGCCGAGGGGAAGTTTAGTGCAAGAGAAGGTTGAGGGAGACTGGCTGTCCAGAGCGCGACACGGCACAACAACATTGGGATTGCACTCCAGGGCGCCCGGCGCGCTCGCCGAAGGGCCAACGCCGGCGGCCTGGGCCGGCGGGAAAAAGAGGCCGGCAGCAACGTAGACGTCGAAGGCGGAAACGACGCCGACGACTTCAAGCCACCCCTCCATCACTCTTCTCCCCCCTGTCCTCCCCGAACCGCATTGCGGCCGCCCGGAGCATCCGACAGGGCGAACAGGGCCGCAGACGCCCTTGCCATCGGTGCGCCGACGCCCTC